CCCTCAGTGGCACAGCGGTATGTCTGCGGACTTACAACGCTAGAAACCGGGTTTCGATACCAGTGGTGGGCAGAGCATAGATAGCCCATTGTGTAGCTTTGTGCTTAACTCCAAACAAACAAACATTTTAACAAGACCTACCTCGAGCATCAGGTAACCTAAGCATTTTGTGGATAACTAGTAAAACGAAAACGTTGAAAAAATGTGTTACCCAAGAATAAACAGAGTAGAGAGTGGTGTGTGTTTTACATACCAGACACAGACGAAGGGACCAGTACTGTTTTATAATCACATATATTTTGATAAGAGTCCTATTTGGCACAACTGGATAGGATACAAAAAATATGCCAGATGACATGTGGTGCAAAACCAGGTAACTTAAACCGACCATAGAATAATACATAGCCCACCCTGTGTTCTCCCGACGATTAATTTTATCACTGGTCAAACCACACGTGTGACAGCTATGCGTCCATTCGTAATTATATCGCTTTATAAATTAGCGTTTTCCTTCGGTTTTGATTATTCTTTAAAGACTTCAAGATACAGACGAATGTGGGAAACGAATTTAAAGTTCGTCTTTTGAATTTCAGCTGTTCAAAATCTGAACGTAAAACAAATATACAAGGGCAAAGAGGTACAATAGGCTGTTAGCACCATGAGCACTGCCGGGATCGAACCCCCATTTAAGCATCATGAGCTCACACATTAACGCTGAGCCACCGGAGACCAAGGTTATCCTTAAAATGGCAATAAGCAACGGATTGGTTCCAAAAAAAAGTATCTAAAGATGTAATCAAAGTTAACATTTATTGAGATTGTCCTCAAAGATCAGTGCTCCCCCCCCCGCAGTGGCACAGCGATACGTCTGCGGACTTACAACGCTAGAAACCGAGTTTCGATACCCGTGGTGGGCAGAGCGCAGATAGCCCATTGTGTAGCTTTGTGCTTAATTACAAACAAACATACAAAGATCAGTGGTCTTTGGTTGTTTATAATTGTTTACGTCATTGTTGTAGCGAGATCTTCGATTAGATATTCTTTTTTTTTTTTGATCCATAAAGGAACACTTACCGCGAAGAATTTGATACGTGGCATATGAACTTCAAAAACAGGAAATAAAAGTAATTATTACTCTTAATTTTAGTTTTATTTAATCTTGAAACAGAACACTTTCGGGGACCCTGCGAAAGTACATCTAGTTTATCAAGGCTACTTAATAAAGGTTATTAAGGTTAGTGTAACCTTAAGGTTATTCTTTAAAATAATATTTTATATCTTACCTCAAGTTAAGTAGTTTTGATTGCTCCATATTTTTACAGGTCACGGATTCGCCATTCTTACGACAGAAACTTGCACTTATCACACACAAGATTATGAAAGACACCTAAAATAACACACAAATAATAAAGAATTTTAGCTATCATTTGTAGTGGAAATTGCAACACAACAAAAATTAAATATTATAAAACGTAATTGGCTAACATATTGAGCCAATTTTCTAAAATTATTTATTATCTTGATCTTTATAATAATTCAATCCTTTTCAGTTCATATTTCAAAACAATAAATCAGAGGTCCAAAAAAAAATACAGAGATACTTTAGAATATGCTATTTGTTGATAAACGCAAAGTTACACAATGGGCTATCTGTGTTCTGTTGACCGCGGGGAATCGAACCCTAGGTGTTAGCGTCATAAGTCTGTAAACATATCGCTGGCCCACAGAGTTAAGACTTGTATTCATATTAATCTCTACACCCACCCCCCTCCCCTTCCTCAATGGCACAGTGGTAAGTCTGCTGACTTATAACTCTAAGAAACGGGTTTCGATACTCGTGGTGGGCACAGCACAGATAGCCCATTATTACTTTTTTTAATCACCCCATTCTAAAATTATCAGATCAGAAAGCCTAAAATTATGAAATAAATATGGCGTAGCAATAAATTCAAATGAAGGGTACACATTAAATCCCATATTATGTAATGATCCCAGTCCTTTTGAGATGCACGTATATATTTATTTATGTTAGAAGGTTAAATGTATTAAGGGAGGGGAGGGACGAGAACAGCTTCAATAAAATACTCATCTGTAGTTTAAAAAGTAAACACCGAAATCCTTAAAAAAAAAATCAATATTCAACTTACCAAAACAAAGGCGAGAGCAGGTCCCAGAAATCCCAAGATAAAGTAATTGTCTAATTTTAGCCAGCAGTAGGACTTAGTTCCATAGCTCTGGGGATCAATAAAAGCACAAACCCCCACGGCTATGATGGGTAAGCCATATCCCGAACAACAGTACCATATCCAGCGACGTCGAGCAGAATCATTGTAATCTTTCCTCTCTAGTGAAATCAGTAGTAGTTGGAGTGGCTCAAGAAACATCCAGATGAAGGTAGACAAGAAGAAATAGTGTAGCAATCCTGCTACCACACCACAAATGATTCTATTCATTACGAAGTCGATCCCTCCCACAAAGATCACTTCAGAAACAATAAGGCAGAAGCAGATATTTTTATGGATCAACTGGCGATCGTCTTTTAAACATCTAAGTAAAAAAAAAAAAACAAGAAGAAGGTACTGAAAAATCATGACCTCAAACACGTTTTAACGAAATCATTTGCAACGACCTCTTTATTAAAGAAACTGACTTGATTTAGATACTCTTCAGAAAAAAAAAGGCTTACCTAACTAGGAGTAAGGTGACAAAAGTAACCAACAAGAAAAATATAGCAAATCCACATCCTATAGAGGTCACGATTTGGATAGTCAGCTGGCCATCCTTTTCCACCTGGAAGTAATAGAATTCAATCAAATATACACACATCAGTATCATCATATATAAAAGGCAAATACCAGCCTTAATATATAAAATATACAGTCTCGTTCTGTAAAACAAATGTACAAGAGTCATTCTGTAACAAGTCGTCAGTTAGCATCGTTTTATAAAACAAATGTACAAGAGTCATTCTGTAACAAGTCGTCAGCTAGCATCGTTTTATAAAACAAATGTACAAGAGTCATTCTGTAACAAGTCGTCAGCTAGCATCGTTTTATAAGACAAAATAATAGCCTCTTTCAAAAGGACGTAAACCAGAATCGTCGTAGAATATAAACCAGTCTCATACTTTAACACTTGGAGATGACCAACAAAATACGGTTAGTTATTTATGGTTATTCCTAATTTTCAGAAACGGTGTTCCGACTTCAGGTTGTCCTCGGAATTACGATACTTCCTCCAACGCCACTCGTATTCACTTTTATACTCATGATTACGTATTATTACTCAGAACGAGGTTTTCTGCACTAACCAGCTTCTATGAGCACTCCAGTGACTCGGCAGTAAGTATACGGACTTATAACGCTAACTACCGGGTTTCGATACCCGTGGTGGGTGCAATACAGGTAGCTCATTGTGTAGCTTTGCGCTTAACAACAAACAGGCAAAAATGCTTCTGTGGAAGGTGGAGATGGAAATTCTGACCGCTTATCTTGACCACTTTTAAGTTAACGAAAGTTGAAACAAAAAAAGTTGCATCAGGGATATGACAGGATATGGTTGATGTAGTTCTAGCTTCTTCAGCCATCTTTCCTAAAGAAACGGCGGTTGACTTTAAGGGGTGGTTGGAAGCTCATGAGACTTTGTTAACTTCAAATCATTGTTTATAATCTTGCCCAACGTACCAGAAGATAAGCCTAAAGAAACGGCGGTTGACTTTAAGGGGTGGTTGGAAGCTTGTGAAACTTTGTTAACTTCAAATCATTATTTATAATCTTGCCCAACGTACCAGAAGAAAAGCCTAAATAAACGGCGGTTGACTTTAAGGGGTGGTTGGAAGCTCGTGAGACTTTGTTAACTTCAAATCATTATTTATAATCTTGCCCAACGTACCAGAAGAAAAGCCTAAATAAACGGCGGTTGACTTTAAGGGGTGGTTGGAAGCTCGTGAGACTTTGTTAACTTCAAATCATTATTTATAATTTTGCCCAACGTACCAGAAGATAAGCCCAGCTATTTCACAATAACGTTTCGAACTGGAGGTTTGTCGTTTCGCAATCGCAGTCTTTATTTTTGGTTGGAAATTTGTTATAGATTGTCCTGAGTCAGCGTTCCGCTTCCAGTTTCTCTTCTAAACGCTCTGATGTGCGATTGAGAACTTTGAAATGTTTTTTTTCTTGTCGTATGGTGGGAATTTTGTTGGGCTTAACATGTCGCC